TATATATATCAAATTATTTAATAATATTTTAATTTTAGTTTATATAATGCATGGGTTTGATTTAATTTTATTTCATAAAATATGTCTATACTAGTTTCTGCTGTTATATAGGTAAGTAATTGTACCATTAACGAATGTAGCATTCAAATGTTTTAATTGTATTTAAGTTTTATGTCACATTATTAAGACTCACTCGTCATGCCGCCGATGGAGGTAGAACAGGCTCCTCCAGCCCTGAACAGCGCCGTACAACACCGTGAACACACCGACAAATGTGGCGAACTGGCACGCCGCTAATGGACCCCATTGTTGTACCACCAAATGAGTGACCGTTCTGGACTGTTCCTCGCCCACCGTGAAGTTCTCCGTCCTCCAGAAGCCTTGACTAAACAGCGCGCACCTTCCCTTGAAAGCGGATCCGTTTAAAGCGAGCGGCACGACCACCAAGAGTCCAGCTATGACGGACAGGGTGTGGGCGGCGCAGTGAGCCAGCAGCAGTCGCCGATCCAGCTCCATGTACTCGAAGATTAGTTTCAGTTTGTGGTGGAGGAGCGTAGCCTAACGTTACCTGCTGGAATCTAGACGTTTGGTTTCGACAGTGTACCTGCAACTGTAAACCATAAATACTAAGTGGAATTTTACAGCAAGACACTGCGCGTGTGTTTGTGTCGGGACTCCTCCTCCCCTCCGGCGGCGGGACGCAGGACGCTGCGGTTCGGCTCTGCTCACTGTGACGCACTCTCACACGATCCTCACGTACGCGCGAGCTGCAACATAAACTGATTTTTTTTTGTATCAAATATGCGTGTAACTGATTTAATTTGATTTAAATATTTAATTGACATTTCATTAAAAATGTCAGAAAAAGTGGGTGTTTTCCATGTCAAAGGCAGCGCCACGCCCCATTAAAACTTAATTCGGTCAGTGGATCAGCGCTGCGTTATGCTGAAAATGGGTCATCCATCATGTCTAGAGTTGTTGGTTGTTGTTACCAGTGTTACCCACTTTACAATCCAAAAAAATGCAACAGATATTTTACACCCACGAGCTTTTAAAAAAAAAAAAAAAGAAAAGTTGACATTTGATACCTCAAATTTGAAGGCCAGGTAGAAACGCATATCGGAATTATTTTATATTGTTTGGTAAATTTTTCCATCAACAGAAGTTTTAAAATTATACTCTATAACATTTTTTTCCGTTCAAACAGACTCGCGTCTCAAATCTCTTTATTTAACTAATAATAAAAATGTGACAGACTCCTGAAACAATATAAGAAATGTTATAGCCAGCTATTTATGAGGATCTACATTTCTCTAATTGTCAGTGTTTTCCATTTGATTTGATTTGTTTATTCATTAAATTATTATGTTTATATTATATACATATATTTTACATTATGTTAATACATCGTTTTAATTTAATACTTAATTGAATTATTTTTTATATATGGGTGTGTTTTCCTTATGTGTGTTTTGTGTCCTTGTGTGTTACATGTGAAGTATTTGTTTCTTTCTTTAAATGATTAATTCACTGAGTTTTTAGAGACTTAGATGATGTAAATCGCTCGTATGATGTTGCGCTATTAATATTCCTCCGGTAGGCGGTAGTATTGCCAAAATCAATGCTGCAACCATAACAACCACGAAGAAGAGTGTCAAAGATTTGTTTCTTAGCGTCCCAACAATATTTTCTTAATTAAACTGGCTTCTAAGCAGACTGCAAACATTTTAAAACCTTAAACGCAATGGACGAAAAGGTAAAAAAATATACTTGGCTTGTTGTTTCCTTTTATAAGTGATAAAAGCTAGGCGAGGCTGCATGCTGTGCTGGGCGCAGTTCAAATTCGCCGAAATTATGTGTATTGGTTTCAAAAGGTTACGACTTTTTTGATGACATGAACTGTAATATGTGCCTACTTAGATTTTATGAGCGTGTTTGATTTGATTTATTTATTAGTAAGCGTTTAAAACTGTCACCAGCTGTGTGTGGGACTTTTCACCTGGTCATACTGGAAGACCAGATACACTGGTTTGGCATAGCCAGGATGGGAGACCTTTCTAAATCTTCTAAAACCAGCATATAATGAATTGACATACTGGTCTCCTGATGCAGAAGCTGTGGCTACATTTAGGGTTAATAATGCAGTAGTTTTGTGTTGTCAACTCTTGTGGCATTGGTTATGTGTGGCAGGTTTTCGATCCTACTGCAGGGGATGATGGGTCAGAGGCAGAGGCCGGTGCATCATCATGTTTGGGAGCCACTGGAGGATCATCTGGTTCCCGTTTGGAGTCACAGCTCCAGGAGGCCATTCGGTTAAAGACGGAGGGGAATGCATTCTACCGGGAGAAAAATGTGCGCACTGCCATCGGACGTTATCATCGTGCTTTGCTCGTTCTCCGTGGCCTGGACTCTGAGGTGAACTCTGTCCTGCAAGGGTTTGGGGCTCAGGTGCCTAAACTGAGCCAGGAGCAGGAGGACCTGCTGAGGAGCACTCAAGTAGACTGCTATAACAATTTAGCAGGTGTGTATTCCTTCCAAACAAGATACTGTAGCCATGTGAGGTGGTACTGCTTTGGTACTGAATTGCACAACACTAAAATTTTATAATTTTATCCAAAGCTACTTTCTGTGCATTTATAATTATGTTTTTATGAAGAGTTTCTTACTGGGCAGGCTAGGCTAGGTATCGTCATTGGTCATGCATTATCATACCATTTGGGGTAGTCGTGGCCTAATGCAGTAGTGACACATAGTACTAGTAGTAGCACATGCCACTCTCCACTGACACATGTAAGTGAAAACCAGAAGTGTCACCGGATGTGCCACTGAGCATAGTGACATGTGCCAATGGCATCCGTACGTCAGATGCCATGTCACTTAATGTTAATACTGCCTCTCGCCTAATGGTTAGAGAGCCGGACTTGTAACCCGAAGGTTGCGGGTTTGAGTCTCAGGTCCGGCAGGGATTGTAGGTGGGGGGAGTGAATAACCAGCACTCTCTTCCACCCTCTACCACGACTGAGGTGAGACCCTTGAGCAAGGCACCGAACCCCCAACTGCTCCAATATGGCTGCCCACTGTTCCGGGTGTGTGTTCACGGTGTGTGTGTGCACTTGGATGGGTTAAATGCAGAGCACAAATTCCAAGTATGGGTCGCCATACTTGGCTACACGTCACTTCACTTTCACTTTAATTTCCTATTGGTTTGAAACCTCCAAACCAAATCCCTCCATTTCTGTCTATCTCAGCATAAGTTTCCATCTATTTCACCATCATCTTACCTCCACAACTAGGATCCTGTTATTTGCTTTCACACTTTGCTGGCACCTCATCATATTGACCACATTAAAAACTCTAACCATAGCAGTTCATCATAATGAGAAATGGGAAACAAAATCGTGTGAACTTTGTCCTTGATCTCATGATAACCCTTCTACCATTCAATAGTTTGTACTTGTATTCAGCAAGGACTCAAAAGTGACAGTAAGCCATTTATAATCTTACAAAAGATTTCCATTTCAAATAAATACTGTTATTTTGAATTTTCTACTCAACAAATATTCTTCAGAAAAATACATCACTTTGTAGAAAAATAAGCAGCACAACTGTTTTCACCATTAATGGTAATAAGAAATGTATCTTGAGCAGCAAATCAGCATATTAGACAATGTTATGTGACAAATGAAGACTGGAGTAATGACTGCTGAAAATTCAGCTTGCCTTCATAGGAATAAATTCAATTTTAAAATGTATTTGAAATTTTAATAGTATTTTGAAATATTTCAGTTTTTGCTGTATTTTGGACCAAATAAATTCAGACTTTGTGAGCATAAGAGACTTCTTTCAAAAATCTTACTGACCGCAAAGTTTTGAATGGTAGTGTTTGTAAATCTTATCTGGGAAAGCATTATCCTCTTAACCTATTTCTGTGTTTCACAGCATGTTTGCTACAGCGACAGGTGGTGGACTATGCCCGTGTGTTAGAGTACAGTCTGAAAGTGCTCAGGTGGAGGTCAGGTGACATTAAGGCTCTCTACAGAGCTGGAGTGGCCTCATTACAACTGGGTGATGCACAGTCTGCTCGACATTACCTCATACAGGCCAGCAGGGGGAAACCTAATGGTAAAAACAAACCACATCCCACCTTTCTTGCATATTTCATCATTCGCCAACCTGCACCAGGGGTCGCCAGAGCTCTCCTAGGGGTCACCTAATTGATTTTGTTGGATTCAGTTTGTCAAATTATCGTTATTATGATATAAACAGATGTCTAGCTGAGAAAAAAATCAAAAGAGCAGTGGGTCTTCACTTATTGCATTCTGTCTGATGCCATGTGCAAAGTCAAGTTAAAAATAGTTCAAAAACATGTCACAGGACCCCTGCATTCTCTTCTGTTACTTTAGCTATATTTAAACGCAAGAATGTGTCCTGTGTAAGCATGGTTAAATGCCACACAGAATCAGTGAAAATTCTCAGCATGATATACAGATTGAAATTGTGTAATGATATTCATAATGCAATCATATGATTTGATAAAACACTACTTGCTGAAAAAGCCAGACACAGGGTTACCATTAAACAGATCTGGGCTGGTAATTTGATAAGTTAATAACCAAACTTTCCACAGTATTTTTTTTTTCAGACTTATTTTGGTTTAAAAGGCTTTTCTGTTGCCTTGTAATATTAAATGAAGTGTATGTGTGCATACATTTAAATGTGGTGTCAGAAAGCATGTGACATAAAAAAGTCCCCTGAGATAAAGGTTGAGAACTACTGGTATTATTCTGCCAGGGATTTTCAGCTACAGTTTTCACAAGGGAATACAGCATGTGTGCCTGTTACGTAATGCAGCGTGGTATTACATTTTGCGGATGCAATCATTTTCTTAAGAATTAGTAAGATCAAAGACCCCTGCTCTGCAGCCTTCAGTTGAACTGCAGTTTCACATCTGCACTCAGAGTACATGTCAGTGATTTGATTGGAAATAATGAGACATTCATAGCATCCTGTTCTCCATTTCTCAGATCCTGATGTAAAGAAACAGCTGCAGCGAGTGGAGGAGAGACTCAGCCAAGACTACCAGAAAGAGAAGGCACTGTACAAAGGCATGTTCAGCAAGCAGAAACAGGGTGAGGAGCAGTTAGCAGAGGAGAAGACCCAGAAATTGGTCCAAACGGACAAATACATGACTCAGCAGGAACATACATCGTTAAATTAAGCTTGAGCTGCCAGGAAGAAAGTGGGATGTTTTGCTTCAGGGCATGAATAATTTGCTACATATGGCATTTACTGGTGTTGACTGAATGTGTGGCTAAAATCTGGTGCAACGTGGCAGCTTGTACAAGAATTTTAATGCACTTAAAATGCATTGTACTTTGGTATTGTATAGTTAACATACTGTCTAGCTGCTTCTGTTTTGCATTCAGTTTCTTCCAGCTGTGGGTCTGTATTTTTTTTTCATATGATAGTTCTCTTGCTTTTTGTTTGTTCATCCCAATAAATATTTTTGAAAGAACTTAATGCATAATGAATTTGCCATTTGAAACGGAGTGTTCAAAAGCTATTATTAATGGATTATGCTAATATGATTATGGAAATGCTGTGATAAGACATTTAATGTAAGTCTATGACAGCAGATATTTGTTTGTGAGATCTCATGTAATCCTATTGTACCACAAA